GAATATCACGAGCCATAATTGAAAGTTGGGGGTACTTCAATGTATTCATCTTCCACCAATCGAGCACATCAAAATTTTCATTAGAACCCACAAATAATCCCTCTTCAAGGTATACTTGTAAATTGGGTTTTGATGTTTCCACATAACCGGAAGCTACAAGAAAATCTTGAAACCCAAACATTGCGTCAAAATGACTAGAGGAACTGGCAGGATCAATTGCAGATGAAAATCCCTCATTAGAAACATTGCACTCAACAACATAATCTGCATATATTTCCCACAAGGCATCTTGAACTGTTTTTAGATTTTGCTCAACCTCGTCATGTGCGTATATCTTCGGGAATGTGTAACTAATAAATTTTAGTTTTACTCTAGGATCCAAAATTGCTGCAATAGACATAGGAAGATTACATTTCCCCCAATATTTATTGAATTTGATTTGCATGCTCGTAGCCATATTCTTCATGTATTCATCTTCTGAGAATGACTCCTCCATCAAAATTTTCTTAACATGCAGAACTTGCAAAACTGTAGGTAAAAATATATTTGAAGTAGAATATAAAGTGTCGGATAGCATCTTCATAACATTATTGAAAACTGAAAGAAATTTTCTGATTTTTTCATTTTTAACCCATTCTAAATCAACAGACAACCATTTGTAGTTACCATCTCGAATTTTGAAGTGATTAAAAACATTGTGATAAATAAATGCGGACTCCAACATATTGAAAATTGAGTTCCATTTAGTGGAAACATCAATGGACAATGACCTTGTAGTTGCAACTCCTAGTTGCTTTGCCTCCTAGTTGCTTTGCCACAATCTTGAACTCCTAGTTGCTTTGCCACTTCCACAAATTTATGCAATCTTGTCGGGGATTTTTTCAAATACTTAACATTGTGGATGATATTGTGGATGATTTCATGAATCTCTTTTAGCCCATATTGGACCATTATGTTGATGATATGTGCACAACATCTAACATGAAAAAAAATTCACGAAAGTTTAGTTTTCCGCATGATTGAAAATTTGCCTTTAAAGAACTAGCAACCACGTCATTATTACTTGCATTGTCTAGAGTAATTGTAGATATTTTATCCTGAAGATTCCACTCCAACAAGCATTCACAAATAGCATCACAAATGTAAGTGCCGGTATGTGGAGGC